GACATTGAATTTTGCAATTACATTTTGATTTTAACATGGACTTTTGCTGCGTATGGCACCCCATAGTTGTCAGGGTGAACGGTGATGTACAGAAAGTAATTGCATTGTTCGGTGTCATGGTCAAACAGAATGCTGAATTCAGAAAACAAGAGTATAAATTCAAAAGAAAAGAAATTACCGGAGGCAGGACAACGTGTCTTCACTCCATGTGGAATTTGATGCAATGTCCATCTTGGTCACAACCATAATCCTTACTGCAATTGACTGGTCATTTTAAAGAGTCAATCGTTGGCTTTAAACTTTCTTGACAGTATTTACCAGACCAACCAGGAGTGCATTCACATTCTCCTGTTGTTGGATCACACGTTGCATTATTTTTACATAAGCACCTACGATTCACCTGTTATATGATGACATTGATTACCATCTAAGTTGCAGCTCCTGCAATCAAGAGTGCAGTCTTTCCCATACCACCCCGAACTACATTTCTCATCACAAGTTGGTCCAGTCCAGCCGGGCAAGCAGTCGCATTGCCCTTTAACTGGATCACATGTACCACCATTACTGCAAGCCGGACATTCTAGGCTGCATCTTGGACCGTAGAAATTTACTGGACAGCGCTCACTGCAGTAATCACCCATCCAACCGTCGGAGCAGTTGCCGGTTATACCGTAGTTGGTATCGAGACATGTTCCCCCATTCTGACAACATTGATCCAATTCGGGTGAGCAGACCCTGTGTGCTTTTTTAGTTTCTACGCAATCTATTTAAAATTACGAGAATTATGAATTAGTTTTAACTGTAGCAAACTTAGAAATAATAATACTGGAAACAACTCATAATACTAAACAATGTTATAAGCTCCTTATTATCTACTACACTTTAAATTATATTTTTAGAAGTTGAGTGGTTTTGGCACAATTTTAAATTCAGTAACCTTATATTTAGGCCATTTAATTGCCGAGATACATTATGATTGTTTATCAAAATTATTATGCACCTGTTGAATCCCATTAAAAAAATTACAGTCAAATTACAATCTAATATGACCACAACATAAGGAAGTTCTTTAAATGTTTAATAGATAGTACAGAGGATTATGATTGTTTATCAAAATTATTATGCACCTGTTAAATCCAAATTCAAAAAAAAAAAAAAAAAAATGAGTCAAATTACAGTCTAATATGACCACAACATAAGGAAGTTCTTTAAATGTTTAATAGATAGTACAGAGGATTATGATTGTTTATCAAAATTATTATGCACATGTTAAATCCAATTTCAAAAAAAAAAAAATAAATGTATCAAAGTGTGCTCATAAGTATTAAGCTCTATGTCTACAATTAGGTTACCAACTCCATTGAACTCCATTAAAGACTAATAAAATTATATATGCCTTTCAATAAGGTTATAAGAATCAACACACAGGTATAGCCTATCCTCCCTGTGATTGATTTTGTATTAAACATTGTGAAATAAATCATTATAATAAAAAAATAACTCAGTGTACCGTATGTTATCGTGCAGCCGATTTAATTACAGTCCCTCTTTGATTAATACTTAGACAATGCAAAACGGTTATTTTGTCTGTATATTTTTGTCTTTGGTTTAGGTAAGTGACATTTCTGACAGAAATAGTTGGGATTCACCAGACAACCAGGTACGGATATCACTTTATATTGGCGAACGGTGCGAAGAGGTCTGGATCCGCGCCTGCCTCTAGGTGCCCGAAAAATTTTACTCTCATGCCTTAGAACAATACAACAATTATTTTTCTTAATACAAATTAGGGGGAAGAGGGTGCGGCCGCACAGTCTGCACCCCCACTGCATCCGCCCAAGCAATTAACTACGAAGTTCTTTACTATGCATGCTTATTACTATGAGCAAAAATTCATGAAAACTTTTTGTGCCAGTGGATTGCGATATTAAAACGGACACTGGTATCTACAGATAACCACAATGTCGCCGATAGGGTGAGCGGTTCTATGGAAACCGAGCTCAAACGCTGGAATCGCGCCTGAGAAGTCCCTAGTCTCAAAATGTTCTATTCCCTCAGCCCCAACCATGGTGGAGGCACGCACCCCCTACCGGCAATTCCTGCATCCGCCCCAGAATTGAACTGCCAATGCGTGTAATAAAACAAAAGTCGCATTTTGGGCGAATTCACCTACAGTAGCCCGTGGAAAGAAACGAGGGCCGTATGAGCACGAGGGCACATTAGCGTCGGCACGTAAACATTAAGGAAGGAAAGAATACACTGTATTTATTTTGAATTACTGGGATCATTTTTTAAACATTTTGTTTTACTGCTAGGCATAGGCCTATCATAAGTTTATGTGTACTTTTGTTGGCCTTATCGAGTTTTACTTGTTGCCCTGCAAATTTTCCATTGCAGTACTAGACAGCGAAACTGTTCTGCCTTATTTTGGGAGGGGGTGCCACCGCACCCACTCAACCGGCTACGCCCCTGGTGAATATGTATCCAGTGAAAATGCTGTTGGTGAGAGTACGAGCGCATCTCCTTTGGCGAAACGATCCGTTGCAGTATGTGGAGAGTTGACCAGCGCAGTTTTGTCTACATTTTACAGGGACAGATTGCACTGTATTGCATGTATTTATTAAATAAATAAATATAGGAATGTTAATAAAATTTACTAATTACTTACCACTAAGTATTAATTCTAAGGTCTATTGCATGGACTAAACGCGAGAACTGATTGGAACAAATCCAAAAATTTTGAAACGGTGATAGGGTCATTTTAAGGAACAACCTATCGCTCTGAGAATGCTCTTGGGACGATACACACAGACTACATCACTATCTGGCCGTGTTTTTAACACCAATTTTATATTTTAAATGATCTAACCAGCCTCTTAGGTGAAGTTTTTTAAACAAAGTATTCTAAACATTACAATCACGTGACATTTGTTTTAATTGGGCCTATGTAACTTTTCATTTGCATTAATGTCTTTCTTGGTATGTTGTGTCTATGACTGCACCCGCAGTGAACACACCGCGAATTTGTTTGCCACTGTTTTAGTTTTCAAGACAGCTATACAATTACTATATAAATACAATTTAGCACTGACAAATTAAACTGGGTTCGGCAAAGTGGATTTGGTAATCTGAGATTGGAGAAACTGGTTTTCGAAAATCTCGCCCTAGACTATGTTTCTAGTGAAAAAATGTGAAGGAAACACCCAAAAGCAGCAAATAAACTATTTTAATTTACTGCTTTATATGGAATATATGTTGCCCGCGCACATTAATATTGAAAATCGGGATCGGTCGGTCGGCATTATGTTTACTACTTGTACTGTGAGGCCTAAGTTTTCCTTAGCCTAATTTCAGGATTTAGTGCAAATGAACCTTTTCTATATTCATTGTGATTAATAGATGGTTTTCACTAGTCTAACAAGTCTATAATTCAGCTTAGTAAGCCTTAAAGATTTGTCTTTTAAATCTCCTAATATCGTCTATGCTAAATAACAGGCAATTAACACAAACTATTTTTATTTTACGAACGCAATTTTTGATTTTGCATTTAAAGTCTTTAAAAATCATTGAAAATAGGAAAACAATATTAAAATTAGCGAAGAAAAAAAAAACCAGTTTAAACTAATTATTCGAAATAAAACATCAAAGTAAAAATATCGTGTTTACCCGAAATAAAAGGGTATTAAGCAACTACCGTAAATGCTCGAATAATAAAAGGCTTCAGTGCGGCGCATATTCGAGAGCGGCACTTATTGCAGAAGCGGTGCTTATTAAAAAAATATGGCGTAGCGCTTTCAATGCTTATTCCCATGTTACCTATCTTACCTATTCCCGTAGTTCGGTAGGCCTATCATAGACCCTACATCATCGTAAATAAACGTCTATAAAGATATGCTTGTGTCTTCATTGTGTTATTTATTCAATTGAACATTGTAAACATTGTATTTATTACCCTGTTTCTTGAAGTGTTTCATTGCATACAGGCGCTTATATTCACTCGAATAAGCACCGCAGTGCTTATTCGAGAGCGGCGCTGAGCAAAAAATAAAAATTACGTTTAGTGCGGCGCTTATTCGAGAGCGGCACTTAGCCAAAAAAAAAAAAATAAATAAAATTCACGTTTGGTGCAACGCTTATTCGAGAGCGGCGCTTAATCGAGCATTTACGGCACCCTTTGATTTGCTGTGTGGTCACAACATTTCATTCTCTGGTGTCGCTGTTCCGAAGTTTACGTTCGGTATATAAATAAATAAGGGGAATTTATAACGCTCGTTTTCACTCTTTATTAGTGGCAAACCGTCAAGGCAAGCAAGGATGCAGTGCTTACCCTGGTTTAAACAAATAAAAAAAATATAGTAGTGTAGTATCTCCATTTTATTTAGCATTTCTTAGTCAGGATCTTCTATATACACCCTAATTTTTCGAGTGAAATGCTGTTCATTGGAATAGCAAATTTTTTAATGTTTGGCCTGCTTTGGTAGCTAGGATAAGTCACAGTCCGGCCTATCGCATCGTACTTCGAATTTCCGCATTGCTGTCTTCAATATCAGCCAATAACTATTCAGTGAGTCAATGGAAGTCAGAGCATACCCTACAACAACGCTTAAATTTGCTATTTTGCGTCAAAATAGCCAATTTAACACTGGAATGGAAGCAGTGCTTCTAAGAGTATGTGCGCATGGTCTTCTCACAAATCGGGACCTCCACTGCCCATCGGGTATTCCTAATCTGAATCGATTAAAGTTTAAATACATTTACATATGACCGGTACAGAAGAAACTTTGAGTTATTATTATTTGAATTGAAATTTGTTAAAATACAGGAATAAGAATTCTTTTGAAGAGAAGCCAACCATGTCGGTATTAAAAATAACATGCATTGTGTTTTGACTATAGAACGCAATCTAATTCGGTATAGTAGTAGGCTTACGAACCTTTCCTATCACTAGCAGGCCCTAGCATCAGTGGTCCTGAAATGGAAGGGAGCTGATGGTGTTAGGAAGGTAAAGTGGGGTATCGGTGATTATGAGGGGATAACTCGCAAAATAAGGTGATATGAGGTGATTTTTACTTGCCCCCCCCCCCCTGGCGGGGGGGGGGCAAGTATTTTTTTTCAGGGGTAGGGAGATGTGCGGCCCCTTGTACATTCTAGATATGCCAATACCTAGCATACCCTACAATTTGCTCTACGGTCCGCCACTGCTCTCTATAAATGTATTTATTTAAAAATCATGTAAAATGAATTTATCATGAGTATAGTCAATTTCGACAAGCTTAAGACTTTTTAGCCCTGGATGGATAGACTCCTAAGTAGAGCTACCGAGTGGAGACGGTGTTAGTATACGAAAAGTGCCTCTGGTGGGACACATTTTTTCATACAACTGATATAAAGAAACTTTTCGTTGATGAGCTATGCTTTATACGACTACTAAAAAAATGTCCTTATTCAAGCACTGTTATTATTATCAGGAAATACAACGGTTCCCTGTTATTATTTATCTAGGCCTATTAGTTGATATTGTTTATTCGGTGCTACTCCGCAAACTTGATTCGAATAATAAATATAATATAATATAATATAAACTACGTGTGTTCCGTAGATAATAATATAAATTAATGAAAAATACGATGAGATGACGAATTCGTAGACTTAAAACACAAACTTCATTCACAATATCAATGCTTTTAGACCCGTTAGCTTTGGTCTTCTTCAGCATGTGTGACGAACAAAATATAATATAAAGTATAATATGATTGGTCGAAAATTCAAAAACAATATTATACTAGAAGATACTAGAAGACAGAAATGGTATGGCTTAAGTTAGTTTATTTGCAACTGTTTGTTTAAAATCCAGTTTATCAATATCTCGTCTGCATCTGCTGATGTACAGTTTAAGTTCACCAAACTCACCTGGTGGTGGGGTCAGTTTAGATGATTTTTTATGGAGCAACTGAAAATCGTTCTTAATATCTAACCGATGAATACGGTACTTGTTAGGAGAGCATACCTATTTTTAAGTGTTAAACGTCTATAGTAATGCTCCATGTCTGTTTCTGCCGGAACACATCCGTGTTTCTGAATAGGAATAGGGCCATGTTTCTGCTGAATGACGCCAAAACACGTGTTTTTCATTAATTAAAAAAAAAATTATTTACCACGAATTTTCCCGGAACAAACGATCGAACCAACGAAGAGGTCAATTTGGCTCACCAACGGGTCATGACTAACACGGTATTGCGTTGCAGCTGAAAACTGTACCACAAAACAAGTGTTTCCTGAACGTCAACCCTATAATAAATGCATGTTAAAACACGTATTTTTAGAACGCATTCCTTTTTCCTATCTTTTGCACTGTTTTTTCTGGCCGTCACTTTGGTCACTTCCCATGCTTAGAATTTTTCAGTGCTCTGACGAAGCATAGGCCATATATCAAGGATGTGTCCCCTAATATTTAGTGTCAATCTATGGTGGGGTGTGCGTGTGATGAACAATTAAAGTGATTTAAGGTCAAACAGTCTTAGTACATCAGATATTTCAAAAATCGGTCAGTTGATCTGAATGAAACTTACGGAGAAGTTTAATCAAGTACAAGGAAGAAATTTTTGTGTTTGTGACGTTCCAGTGAAGGGTGTAAATTTAAGGGTCTTTCCAATTTTTTATTACCCAGACCTAAATATCTCTTAAAAAACCAACGGGTCTAATTGAAACATTCTATAATACTTTGTAAAGGTCTTGTAAAAAATTTATTAAATTTGTTTTGACAGTATGGTGTGGATCTGAGGACCATTGAAAGAAAAACGTCCCAGATCACATATTTCGAAAACGGATCAACTGATCTGAATAAAAAATTCGGAAAAAAATTTAACCAATTTATAATAATTTATTGGCTTTCTCTTTCAAATTATCCATGCCATTTCATATTGAAGGTTTTCAATTTTGTCGGTTGAGGATTTACAACCACTAAGCCAAACGGAGCAACCATAATTGATGGTAGGTAGACCAATTACTCTTCAAAGCAAGTCACCAAAATAAACTTTGATATTTCAAGTTACAAGAAAGAAATGATTATGTGCTGGCGACGAATTCAGTCAAGGGTGTGAATTTGAGGGTCATTTAATGTTTTAGAACCAGACCTAAATATCTCTTCTAGATCTGAAGACCATTGAAAAGAAAACGTCCCAGATCACATATTTCGAAAACAGATCAACCGATCTGAATGAAACATTCGGAAAAAATTTAACCAAGTTACAAGGAAGATAGTATTAAGTGTTGGCAACGAATCAATCAAAGGTGTAAATTGGAGGGTCATTTAAATTGTTGAGATCCCAGACCTAAATATCTATAAAATGTAAATGAAACTTTCTATAATAATTTGTAAAGGTCCAGTAAAAAAATGATTGAATTTTTGTGATAGTCCGGCGTAGGTGTGAATATGAGGACCATTACTCCCAGACCAGATATTTCAAAAACGGGTCAACTGATCCGAATGAAACTTTCGGAAAAGTTTAACCCAATTATAAGGAAGATATTAATAATAATCAACACGCATCTGTTTCTGTTAATAAGCAAAAGCGTTTTGATTGGTCTGATGCATATTTACGTACTTTCAATTTAAGGTGGAATCATCGCTTAATTAATGACCTGAAACAAACTATTATTGTTTTTTTAGATTCATGTAACATAGATAGTGCCGTTTCTTCATCTTGCAATTTATTTGATCATGTATGTAAAGGTATTTCCAAACATGGCCCAGATAAAAAACAGAATGTTAAAAACAACAATAAGTGGTTCGATAAAGAGTGCCTGGTATTAAAAAGACGTGTCCGACAAATTTTAAATATATTTAGAAAAGATCGTACTCAGTCCATGTTGAATTTTTATAATAAAATGAAAAAAGAATACAAAAAATTACTTAGATCACGATAATGGTAGATTGTTTTGGTCTAAACTAAAAAATAAATGTTATGATTCATCCAATGAAATTCCAATTAGCTTATTCTTCGAACATTTTAAAACTTTATTTGAAAACGTTAATATTAATAACAATGATCCTTTACAAACAGAAAATTTTCAAGCGGAATTTAATAGAAATTTAAACAATTTAAATGAAGAAATATCCGTTGATGAAGTACAACAAGCTTTTAAATTACAAAAGAGAGGAAAGGCACCAGGAATTGATGGATTAATCATTGAAATATTTATCCACTCACCAGATTTTGTTATTGATTTAATTACAAAACTTTATAACGTGATATTTAAAACGGGAATATATCCTACCCAATGGGCAA